GGCGTCGTTTATCTTGCGTTCTTCTTTTCGATTAATATATTACGGTGGCGTGCAAAGAGAGTCAACATGCGATCTTTATAGTCCTTAAATTCTAACATATTCTTTCCTCGATAGTAATCCTTAATCTCCAATCTCGGCGGTGTTTCGTTATCATCATCCATATTGTCTGCGGGTCGATTTTGCGGCGGTTCTGCGGCGATATCCTGGGTTGGTCGGGACTCGATAAAAGTATCTTCGCGAATCTGTGCTTCCAACTCGTTGAGGCGTTGTTGCGCGTGCAGAATAGCTAACTGTTGCTCTCGTTCACGGATTTGATCGTTTAACTGTTGCAATCGGGCATTGTGATTGTCGGAGGTGGTAGAGGATTCAGGCTGGTTCCCAAGGGATCTTGCGCGTGTCGAAACCATCTTGCGTGTTTTAAGTTGCGTGTTTTAACTAACGTTGCGTGTTTTAACTAACGTTGCGTGTTTTGTTGTAGGTGTGCGTAACAACGGACCACTCAAATAAGGTTTAGAGCGATTAGAATTGTAAGAGATGGGCTACAAGAGTAATTACAAGAGTAGTGTGAAGTACGCACAAAGGATATTAAGAAGGTAGCAATCTCTATTGTTCAAAGCTAATCGCTGATCTCCTAAAATCCACGGATATCAGCGAGCATTATATAGATAATATTGCCATCGCCACGTATCTATCGCCACGTATCTATTTCCTAATATAGATATCTCCGTTGCGCCTATTACAATATACAGCAGAGCTGTTTTATAATATCTCTCATACAAACTGATAAAGTTAAATAAAAGAGTTAATCATAGAAATGTTAGCAGTCAACAATATAATAAAAAAATATAGAAAAGCAAATGAACAAACAATAAATAACACAATACAAATATGATTAAATATATTAAAATATATGATAAAATTCACATTATTTACAATATCTGCATCAAACTGTGAGTTGTGAATTTACATTTATGTAAAATAAACATTCTCATCTGATTTAAACTCTAACAGTCTTTGCAGATGATAAAGTTCTCTTTATATTTGAAATAATATTGAATCATTAATAATCAAGCAATCAAAATGTGAATTTTGTTTGTATTTAAAAAATGTAAATATTAGAGCAGAGTTGTAGTTCTGAATATATTTATAAAAATATTTTATATCAAATATATTGTCATTAAATAATTCATATAACTCTGATGAAGATTCTCTGACAGATGACAGTCTCACAGCATCTTTTACACAATATGTGAAAAATATTGAAAGAGTTTTTAACAACTCATATACACATTCATTAATTCAATACTTAGCTCTGCAGGCAGAGCAGTAGACATTTATTTAATCAAAATTAAATAATTGATAGCAATAAATGTAGAAGTGAGAGCTGCAGAGAACAGATTAACAACTGTGAATGATTAAAAAATTAATAATTAATTTAAAGATAATTAAGCTGATTTAAATATTGAGATCATTGAAAATCAACTGATTCAGTAAATTTATATATATATAATCAGTAAACTCATCTGCTGCAGGAACTGTAGCAGCAGCTGTCAAATGACAATGTTTAATATTACAGATATATTTATAATTAATAGCTCAGCAATCAATACAGTTCTTGAAAATATGAATAATAATGTGAAATAAAAGAAACAGATGATTTTCACAGTACATATTATAATGTGATAATTTAACTCATTGTGAATTGAGCACAGAAGCAGCTACATCTCTCAATGATAAATAAAAGATTTGAATTGAATGTATCTTATATATACAATACTGAGTTTGACAGCATGTAGAGCATGTATGAAATAATGCATTGAATTGAAACTGTTCAAATGCATTGAGAGGATGAGAATCCCCACACACTGAGTAAAGATACATAAAATAAATATATTAATGAACATATATAGATTGTAATGAATGTAGAGAAGAGTATAAAGAATGTAAATACAGTAGAAAACATTTCTAAAGAAAATAATGAAGATTAATATCAGAGCTGTACAGGCCGCAGAGCCAGCCATTCAATCTATTTACTACGCCTTGCTATGCTCCATGCCCACTCTGCTCACTTGCCTTACATTACATCATATCATGTCAACACTTGCTTATTAGAGCAATAGCTAAACATCATCCATGAGCATAAATAGCTCATGTCATGACGTAGATAGAGAACCAAGCTTATTACACCTTACAGAGTGCACCACCATTCATGAATTTGATGAGGTGCATGTGATATCATGTGAGGTCACATTACAGTATTTTTTTCACGGAAAAAGTTGGTTTTTCTATAATATAAAGAGAGATAGCTGATGAGGGCTCTTAAATGCGGATACTTCTATTCTTATCATCTATATCAGAGAAGCGGGCTCCTTTCAACGGTTAGCTGCGGGCAGTCTCATCCACTGCAGCCCCAGCCTATTGTCTCGAGGCCACACCCACAGTCAGTGGGGTCCGCA